CCTTTCCCCCCCCCCCCCCTCCCCCCCGAAGACAAGCTGACCGTTCGAGAAGTAAATTCGACGGCTCGCCCCGTCCGAGTTATTCGTTGCATCGCCGACTCTTTGTTATTATTGTATTAAGTCTTTATGCTCATTGCCGAGGTCGATCCATATTCATGAACGAAAAGAAGGAGAAACGGTTTCTGGAGTGCGCACGAGGCTCCTCTCCGTAACGTCCGGCAAAACCTTTCCCGTTGTAGTAAATACACTCTCGACGAAAGCCCCGGGGCGGCTTAATCCTTGTCCCAGAAGCTCCGCGTAGGATTGCCAGCGCGCATCCCGGAGGATTTTCATGAATAATAATTCGCTGTCGAAACGACGCCGATATAAATGTCGATAACGGCTGGTCTCCCCGCATCGAATATGATAACAATAATTGCTCCCGCGCGGATGCGTCCCTCTTACTCCTCTTATGCATCGAGATATCTCTCCGGCTCTGTCTCTCCTCTTGTGTTTATACGTATTAATTAGCTCATCTACGCTCTTGAAATTCAATGCGTAATTCGTCGCGAGGTAGAAGAACCAATTGCCGTATGATCGGTCACTAAGAAGTAGCGACACTTCTTTTTTCACGACAACGTTTCGCAACGCATCTCGTATTAAATAGGAAAATCTGAGAATCCCCTGCGGATTACTAAAAACAAATTCCCATGGAGAAAGATCGCGGTGTTTCTGATTCCCATTTCTCTGCAAATCATATACAGTTGCTGTGTCACACGAGAAATTTGAGTTAGCACTCGCGCTGAAATCGGGCGGTCTTCCTTTGGCCGATCACGCGTTTAGATAAATCAGATCTCGCTGGTTACAGATCGGTGTTTAATGCGCCAATTGGAAGCGTAGGAGCGCGCGGCCCTGTTTTACGAGGACGACCCGGCGGCAACCGGAGGGTGCAAACCGCCACTTAATCAAGACGTTACACGAGAGTTCTCCTCGCAGAGGACCCTCGGGCACTCTTCCACGCAGGGGTCGACCACCCCTTTCGGTCGCATCGATTCTCCGTAGGCGAAAGCTTTCGGAAACTATTCGCAAACAAGTGGCCACCTACGTGTTTGCGCCGCGTAAATCTCTTTTTACCGCGCGCGGAATTACAATATAGGTGTTTGCGCTTGAGAAATCATTCCGTTTTCTCTTTTCTCTCTTATGGCGTATCGCCTTCTATCCATCGGCTCTCACCGCGGGTTGCAAAAGAAAACCACTAGTAGTGCTTCTTTTTGACACAACACCGTACACTGGCATTTTTGGCCCCAATTATATCTTTTCCTGGTTTCAAGCCGAAAAATAGCGATACGCTGAAAAATGTATCTGAAGAATAAAAAGTATTTAACAATGTTAAGTCTCGCGGATAACGTTACGCGAGATGAAACGCGAATTTGGGGGGGGGGGGCGATATTGCGATGCGCGATTGCAGATCGCAACATTTATGTATGCACGATCGAGTGCATACAGACGCGGGCAGTCTCTCCTCGTTGATTTACGCGGGAAAGAGTTTCGCTGCTGGTATGCGGTTTAATTGCTGATCCGATGAACGCGAAACAACACGGGGGCGCCACGAGAACGAGATAAATGCGCCCAGGGGGAACTATTTACTCTTGTGTTTGTATAAACTTCCGCGGCCCCGGCTCCATATGCGGAATTTTCAACGACCGGTAGTAAAGGGTCGAGGGAGGTGGAGGTGACTGTTATCAACAGGGCCACGTGTAACGTGCATCGTATTAACGTAAGTTGCTTGCGGAGACACAACAACCTGTTATTATTTGCGGGGCGGAATCGAGTTTATTAATGGTGTTTAGATGCTGGACCGACTCTCATTATGCGTTCGCATACACATACACATGTCGTGTAAAACGCAAATATCGCATAAATCACGGTGTAATTCCCGCGAGATGTTTCAAAACCCGCGTACAGTGCGCGCCATTGAATAAACGTTCAATTTATTTCATTCATATATTTATTGCTTCAACATTTTTTTAAATTTCTTACTCGATTTGCAACTTTAACAATTATCAAGCTTTCTAACGTGCAAATTGTCAAACTGT